AATGTGAGTCATAACAAATTAATAAGAAAAAGCAAATAACTATGAACAGCATTTTGGTGGAACTAATGAGTATGTCTAAATATTACTTTCATTAGCTTTTTACTGTTAGTATTATAGATAAGCATACCCATTTGGGTCAACATTATGAAAACGACTACCTTCCTAGCTAAGAGATTCAGAAAATTGAGCCATTGCCTTGTGATTTTAATCAATGTTGGCATTGAGATAGAAAGTCCACACTCCCAATGGGTCTCTTTTAAAATTTTGGGAATTCTTGGCTGAATTCTCTGAACAAACACTTCAGCTCTATTTTCACTTCATTGATATGGTGAGTGTGATTATAAATAATGTGACTACTTTTATCTGATTCACTGGAAATAAATCAAAGTAGTCATCATGTTTGTCATAAACAAGGGCACTTAACTGCATTCACCAGAAGGTAGAAATTACTTCTTCAAGGGAGAAATATTCTGACCAGTTATTTAAGTCAGATTGCATGCCTCTAGTCTATTCTCACACAGCAGATAATAATCTATTAAAGAAACCAGTCAGATCATACAACTCCACTGTTGTAAATCCTCCACTTGCTGGCAATTATCAGAAGAAACAATTATCAGAAGAAAACAATTATCAGAAGAAAACTCTTACCTCAATTTCCTTCCTTAAATGGTAGCTTCATACAATTCCTTAAGCCCATCTAGTAAGTGTTCATTTTAGGATTGCTTTTTTATTTTTTTGCTTTGAACGATCTTTCTCCTTGATACTAGTATGGTTCTTTTTCCTCCTTCCCTTATTTTCAAATCTTCTCAAAYGTCTTCTTGTAACAGAGACTTCCAAGGAACCCCTTAAGTAAAATCTACCCTTGCTTTTACTCTCTACCTCTTTTCCTGTTTTATATTTCTTCATAGCACTTCTCAACCATGATATTGCATTATAAGTTATATATCTGTTTACTTATTATCTATCTATATGTTAAATGTTAAGCACTTACTGTCTGCTTTAAACCTTAGAATGTAAGCACCATGAGGGGAGGAATCTTGTTTCTTTCAATTACTAATATCTCTTGTTATCTAGAGGAGTGCTCTTTAAATGAATAGCACTAAGATCGATACTTTCAGTGAACTGACTAAATAAAATATAACTTGATCATCTAACATGAATTTCAAAATTTGGATTGATATGATTTTTCTTATGAATCTGAAGTCCCCCTTGCACATGACCTTTAAATCAGTTTCTTCTGAGAAGGGTAGTTCATACAGTGTTGACGAATATAAACATGCAAAAACTTTCTCAGAGCGAAATTTGGCAGTCTAAGAATTACAGCAGCACCAACCACAACAACATGCCTTGACCTAGTATTTTCACTTGTAGCTAATTATTCTACAAAAATAAACAAGACACAAAGCTTTGTGTGTAAGTGTGTTCATTATAGCATTTTGAATTCAATAGGACTGTTATTTCTATAATAAAAACAAAAATGTTTTTCTTCCTTAGAAAGTAAGATAAAAGCATCTACTAATGAGAACAGAGAACTGTTTTATAGAACTGAAGTTTCAAATGCTTATGCTTAGTAAAATGACTGCAAATTGCAATGCCCCGTTCTTAGATACCTCACAGTACTGGCATACCTACAAGCCCTCGCAACAGATTTTTTTATAACTACAAGGTATACATCAGGTGACTGGTCTACCTAGTCACAGATGACTAGACAGGGAAGGACACCTACCCCAAGGACAGGTTTTTGGTTGACCAGTGGTCATCAGATGCATACATCCTATACCTACAGAGATATAGGTATTTTATTGCCTTTTGCCCTATTTTGCCCACTGTTGATTTTCTTGTGTGTTCTTTAGCAACCTAAAGGAGTTTAACTAGCAGTATATTAATGGGAGCTTGGATTAAACCTTTAACAGGCCTAATCTCTGAAAAGATTGTTTTTTATTCTATCCTCTAATTATGCATGATTTGAATTAAAAATAATACTGACAAGTACAGGAAGTATAACTAAATTCTAAAAAGTAAGTTTTTTCTTTGATAATTTTATGAAAGAAAAAAAAATGGTAATTCACATTTGTTCTTATATTCCCTTCTAGGTAACCCAGTAATATTAAAAGAAAGGTGGGACTAGAAAGTCCACATCATAGTCCAAAGCACTTTGCCTGTCACCAGTTGGGTCACTATTTGACTAATGTTTTGTAGAGGTAATTGGAAAGCATATTTCTACAAATGTTTTTATATGTTCTACTGCTTTTAAAAATGGGGTCCAGAAGAATATGTATCTATAAATTATATTTTGTTATCTAAATACTCTCTTATATTTTTCAGCACTATTAGATATCATTGTAGAAATATATTCAATTATTAATTTAAGCCCCAGTATATATGAGTAATAAAGTTTCAAAGAAGGGCTGGAGTTATGTCTCAGCAATAATTATGGCTAGCATGTGCGAGGCCCTGGGTTTGATTCTCAGCACCACATAAAAATAAATAAATAAAATTTATGGTGCCCACCTACAACTAAAAAATGAATATTAAAAAAAAGTTTCAAAGAAAATAAATTTTTAATTTTATTTAAAAACAGCATTTGCTGAAAAACAACTGTTTTTTATTTTTWTTTTTCAAAAATAGTATTAGATTCTACATAGGAGGTCAGTCTTGAGTGCAAGTATTTCTATTCTTTATGTTACTTATTGCTCCAGGATTGAGTATAGTAAAGGCTACCAATGGGGCCATATGTTGTGGTGTCAATTTGCGGACTTTGTAGGCATGGGCCTCAGGAGTGCAGAGAGTATGCATGATATCACATGGCCAACTCCCTATCCTCCACCCTAAACCTGTGCCATCAACAATGACTCTGACTCTGCTATGTGAGCCTAATATTTACATTGCTGAAGAAGGCAATAACCCTGACTTTTTCTCAGAGAGGCATATTGTAGAATTTCTCATTGCAAAATGCTGTTTGTGTCTGACCATGCTTTGCAAGCTCACATTGTTGACCATTTAGCTAATTACCAATAATGGTAAAACTGAGTTAAAAGCTATGTTCTCTTTGGATTATAATGTAAAACCGATCCCTTGACTTTCTTAACTACTAGATTATTTTACATAGATGAAACTTTTGCTTACTTTGTCGACTAATTTTCATTTTTTAAAAATAGCTTTATTGATGTCATTTATATAACATACAATTTAGCAACTTAAAATATCTACCTCAGTGTCTTTAGTATTTTAGTTTTTATTGTGAATCTAATTTTTGGACACTGTTCATACCTCAAAAAAAAAAAAAGCATACAAATAAACAAAACCCTATGTCCCACAGTGGTAAGCCCCATTTCCCCTCTTCCACACCTTTGAGAACCACTAATCTTATTTCTGTTTCTATGGATTTGACTACTCTGGACTTTCAGATAAAGGGAAACATAATATTTGGGCTTTTGTGACCAGCTTCTTTCACTTAGCATAATTTCAAGTTTGCTGACTCATTCTTTTGTGGGATTGCATATYTACACACTGTTTTCCAATACTAAAAGTATATTTGGATATTCACAAATTGATATTTAAATTATATCTCAAACTTTTAAAATAAATAGACACCCCCCCCCAAAAAAAAAAGAAATCATGAATTTAAAGCACAGCTCAATATAATAGTTTCACTGATAYCATGGAGACTACTAATGAACATTTAATCCTGACGTGAAATTTTTTTCCATAAATCCTTACATTGAAAAGTACTTAAATTGTTCGCTCTCAAGAGTCCTTAGACTCAAAAAAATATGGAAAATCCCTCAAAATTTGTGTTTATGTTGATACTAGGYACCAATATTTATCATATTGAAAATTAGGAGAAAAAATTTTAAAGTCTTTTTGATAATTTAATTTAAAATGGCAGAAATATAACTATGTCATAAAAACATATTTGAATGAAAAACTTATTTTCTAAAACAAAAGAGAAAATAGTGAAGAGGGGCATTTTTACATTTTTGTAAATCTTATTAAAGTGTCTAATTTTACAGACAATAGCTGAATTTTCATAACTGCTTCTGCCTTTAATCTATTACAATATCACACAACTGAAAAATTACATTGTGCATTCACAAGAAAATGAGAATATAAAGGGCAAATAACATGTTAGCATTACTGGAAAAAAGAGTTTTGATCTAATAGGCCACCTAAAGGGGTTTTAGGGATCCTCAGGTATCTTAAAGCCATCCTTTGAGAACTCCTGGTCTAGATTCTGCTCTAATACTGACTGAGATTCATTTTAATGAGATTGCTTTATCTATAGTATCATTAATACAGATTTATAGGATGGAAACTCTTGGTAAAACAGAATCAGGAAACTTCAAGAGAATAGTTTTCAAAGCATTTTGGCTACGATATTATATAGACCTGTTTACAATCTATTTAAAATAAACAGTCTAAGTGAAATACAGCATGCCATGTTACTATATATTTACTCAACCTGAAATATGTTCTTAACTTATCAGCAAGTAGAATAAATGAGACATTACTATATATTGTTGAAATATCTTATTATTACAGTATTATCTAAAACTTTTATTGTTGTCATTAATTCATAAGTTTATATTTTACATTCTTTGAAGCTTCTCCCCATCTTCATGATAATTAAAGATTGCTATTAGTTTCTGTATTTGCTTTATAAATCGTAAAATATTCTTGAATACTTCTAAAATGGACATTAATATAATAATCTTCAAATAATTGTGCTAATTTGCATACCTAAATAAAATGATTTAATAGCCACAAAGTATGTGGTTAATTTTAGTTTAATTAATATTTATTTTTTGTACACTTTACAATTTAAAAGTAATAACATGATCCTTAAGTTTATGGATGTGTGCAATCCCAAAATGATTAATGAGCTTACTGAAGCTGTAGCAGCTCATGTAGAATACCTCCAAAGCTTTGTGATTTAAAACTAAATTTAAAAATCTAGGTATTTAAAACTCAAGCTCAAAAACCACAGTCTGGGCACCTACCTTATAATATCTCCTTCAAGAGCAATTACTCTYTTGATGATTTTTTGCTCTGGATTTTTAGGAGACCTATAATAAAAAGATAAGTTTATAAGTTATGTTTCTATTATCTTAAGAAAATGAAAAGAAATTCTATAGCAAATAGATTATATTAAAGTCATTAAAGAAATCTTTGAACCTATGATATAACATCAATCCTACTTAGCTGTGAATTAAAGTTACTAATGAAATAATTTTCATTTCAAATATCTGGAGAAAAAGAAGTCATGCTGAAACTTTGCAAAAATAAAAATACAGGATAAAGAAGTTTATCATTAAGGGATAAAATTTATTAATAGGTTATTAGTGTCATTAAATACTTTGGGGAAAGACAAAACATACATAAGAAAACATTTAGATATTTCTTTAAAACAAAAGCATACTTAGGTTAATTTTCTTTAAAATTAACAGAGGAGTTAGATTTAAATACTAAATTAAATTTAAAAACTAAATTGAATTAGACTAATTAAATTAAATACTAAACAGAGGAGTTGGTTTAAACTCTCCAGAAGAAGCATTTAAAAAAAAATAAAAAATTAGGAAATTCCTTTATGCTACATTTACACTAGCCATTTGAAGATTATAGACTATAGTAACCCCTAGAACAGGGTTACTAATAGTTTTAAAATATTGACAGGTTCTGATGTACTTAAAAATGACATCATTTATTTTAATCTATTTGAATAATAATTTAAAAAAATCTTCTACTTGGAACAATACTATGTACTCTAAACTCCTCCTCCTGGTAGATGCCTCCTGTGTACATCCTTTCCACCTTGTAATAATAGTGATCTGTGGGGTCAAGATAGTGTGGGAAAAGTGATGATACATCAGTTTTGAGATGTGTCTTGAAAGAGACTTTCACTTCCAGTTTGAGCTCTTCTTTTCTTGCTCACTTCACCCACCCTTCCTCCCTCTCCCCTTTTTCTCTCAGGGAAACCATTTCTGTCCTGAGCAAACCTGTTGAGAAATTCACTTGCTGAGGACCCAGATCTCCTCACAGTCATTTGAGTAAACTGAGAAGCAAGACCTTTAGCTTCAGTCAAGTCCTTAGGAACTGTAGCACTGGTTAACATTGCGACAGCAACCCCATGAGGGATACTAAGCCAGAACTAACCAGATAAGGAACTTCTGCTCTCCAAATCCTTAGGAAATGTGTGAGGTAAATGTTTGTTTTTTAAGTTGCTAGATATTGGGGTAATCTATTATACAACAGTGGATAACTCTATTTTGATATGGTTAATTTCCTGCCAATAACATTAAGTCAATCTAAAACAAAAGTAGGGGGAGAATTTTTGTGAATATTAAAAGCATTTATGCCCAGGGTTTGATTTGATTATTGAAATGCTCATTAGCAGAAGACAACTGTTTAAGACATATGACATCATCTGAGAAGAAAATGATCTAAACTAGGCACAGTGATGCATGCCTATAATCCCAGCAACTCAGGAGACTAAAGCAACAAGACTGAAAGTTCAAGGCTAGTCTAGGAATTTAGCAAGACCACAGTCTCAAAAACAAAAAGTAAAAAGTGCTGGGGATATAGGTCAGTGGCAAAGTGCCACTGGGTTGAATCCCCAGCATAGCAAAAAGAAAATGCTACAAAACAAGAGTAAGACCTGAACTAAGTTTCCCTTGTAATATTGAATGAGACTTACCATTTATGAAATAACAGAAAAATAATCCCTACTAGCTAGTATAAAAACAGTTATGTGAACAATCTTTAAGCTTTTGAGATGCTTGAGAAGAATTTTATATTTTAAATAATCTGTTTTTTAAGACCATGAAACAAAATAGAATATGTAAAGTGAACAATCTTTATGATTAAAATCTTATAAATTACTACTTCAAACACATCTATACATTTTAATGTAATATTAAACTCATGACTCTAATCAAATAATTCAAAATGAAAAAAGCTATTACTAACATTAATTCCATTACTGCTTAAAATCTATATCTATATTTGAATCATTAGGCTGTTGAATGCATTACTTTGATGTTAGTAGAAGTGGTAGAAGAGTTATTACAGATTTACATCATAAATGTTATTAAACTTCTCTTTGTCTTAATTTTCTTGGGCCACTTGCCTATCTTCTAGAAAATGTGAAGAATAACAAGTGGAGGATTACACCTTACTTTAGGAATATAATATATTCTTCCAAGTTAATMCTCAAATTTACATTTAAATTTTTAATTTTAGTGTTTTCATAATATGGCTTGTTATATTCATTTCTGAGACCAGCATTGTAAACATTCTGTTTTATGCTTATGATTTAATTAGGTAAGATTTCTATAGACATTTGGACAAGGAGCCTAGAATTATCTCTCTACTGCATGGGCTCAGTAAATCTTTTCAGTATGACAGAACATGTCTCTAAACAGAATGGCTTTAGGGCAAGGAATAAAGTACAGGGTACACATAACAGGATATCCTTAAGATGATACTCAATGCTCTTCTTTTGAATTTCACTTTCTATTCTGATGTTTCTATTTTTACTCACTGACAAGTCAAACATAACCAGGCCTTAGATTTTGTAATCTTTTAACTAATTTCATGTTTTCTATGTCCTCAAATGTAGTAATTTTGGCCCTTTCTGGAGCACTGGGAAGGTACTTTGGGGTACTTATGAGGGACCCCATGTTTTGTGGAAATGGCATGATTAGCACCCAACCCACCTTCTGTCACTGACATCCCTAWGTCCAATAGACCCTTTACTCTGGACCTACACAGTCCCTTTCTTCTCCCATTTGAGACAAAATTCTAAATCTTCTGTGAATCGGACAGATTTTCATATTTATATGGCTGAGAATTGGGCCAGACTGTCATTGAATTAATCTCTGGATTAGACGTCACTTTAACCACAGTCTAATGCAAGCATTGATCCTTCAAAAGTACCACCATTTATTGGACACTAATTACATTGTATGTAACCTAATGAGGTTTAAATCTTGGTGCTTCATTAATGAGGTAAAAGTAAGAATCAATACTCAGGGGATACTTTATATTAAATAGGGTACATTTCACTGTCCTAAAGGGCACCCAAGCACTAAATCATACAATTTGGCTTGACCATAATTTTTAAAATTTGAGTTTTGTTATTGTTTTAATCATCAAGAGTAGAAAGAAAAGTATGCTCAATGCAGTCATAAAAAGTCCTTCCTTTAAGACTTACAGAATATTTTTAACTCTCTAATAAAAGTATTTTCAGATTTTGTTGCATGGATGGCAAAGAAAAGCCTTTCAAAAGTTAAGTTTTATTACATAATTAACCAAAGAAATACCAAAACTAAATGTAACAGTGTGTTCTGGTTTGGATATGAGATGTCCCCCAGAAGCTCACATGTGAGACAATGTAAGAAGGTTCAGAGGAGAAATGATTGGGTTGTGAGAGTCTTAACCCAATCAGTGAATTAATCCCCTGATAGTGATTAACCTGAGTGGTAACTGAAGTGACAGGGTATGGCTGGAGGAGGTGGGAATTGAGGACATGGCTTTGGGTATATTTGTATCTGGTGAGTAGATTCTGYGTCTCTGCTTTCTGATTGTCATGTGAGCTGCTTCACTCTGCAACACTCTTCCACCAGTATATTCAGCCTCACCTCAAGCCCTGAGGAATGGAGCCTTCTGTGTATGGATTGAGACCTCTGAAACTGTGAGCACTCAAACTTTTCCTCCTTTAGAATTGTTCTGATGGGGTCCTTCACTCACAGTGGCAAAAAAGCTGACTAAAACACAGTGTTCATATGGAATAGTCAAAGTTTAGTTTTAAATTAGATCAACACAATTGATAAAATAAAGATAAGGAGCAATTTCGGTGTTAGATTCTATATACTTGCTTTACTATCAGTAGTGTGAACTCTGTGCCTACACTCCCCCTTTTTATTCATTCATTTAAAAAAATTAACACATTTTTAATCATTAGTATTCTCAAAACTTTTTACTTAGTCTATCATTTCAGCTACAGTTTTCTCCTTGCTAAACTCTGTGTCTCATGTGAATCTTTATAAACTTAAAAAAAAAAATCTAGACTTCTTTTGCTCTCTGGGTTCATTCTTATCCTCAAAACTGTGGAACATCTAACTTCAGATATACTCCAGAAAATGACAGATATATATTTAATCCCTAACAATTACTTTTTCTCTGATATCTCTGAAATTAGTCCAATCCAAGAGCCTTAGTATTAACAAAATGACTTATGAATGAGGTGGCAAGAACTCAGGTTAATATTTCAAGTTTGCTTTTTAAAACCTGATTTTCTAGAAGGAGAAAGGGAGATCTCAAGAAAAGTATCTCAGGCAGTCACAAAAAGTTGTTATATGTTCAGAAAACTTTAATGCAAAGGAGAATTCAAAGATTAGGACTTATCCAATCTCATTTGGTAAGGCTGGAACAGGATAGGCATACTTTTCCTAGTTGGCCATACTCTCAGACCTGAATAAGGCTACTGAGCAGCAACAGTGGAACTTCTACAGAGCACTGAAGAGGTTCCAAACAGGTTTCTRGAGATCTAAAAACATGACAGTAGCAACAGCAACTTTATTTCAAATTCATATTCATGATCCCTTACACAAGTAAGTATGTTTTAATAGTACTGATAGGACAAAACAAAAAAGCATGAAACTTGAAAGATTTATAAAATTTCTTGGTTAAATGTAAATATTGTTTTCACTTTTACTATGATTAGGAGAAGTTTAATAAGCAAGACTAAAAACTGGTCTTATAAGTAAGTCAGGCTTGATTATATAAAATCAATTAAAATTATGTAAAATCAATTAAATGTGTATTAAAACTCTATCTTCTATAATTAAAAAGAGGTGCCACAGCTTTTTAATTGAGTTTTTTATTCTAAAAACAAAAATCTTCACTTAACTATGAAAAGTCCAAAGAATTTAGTATAATCATAACAAGAAGTTAATTTTTACCAATGTTTATTGACTCAAGTATTTCCTGACAGAACTGTTCAATCTTCAGGTATTAAAGATAATTACAATTACAACTGTACCTCAATATCTAGATAGGTTGTATG